TACTTTAGTTGTTTTCATTTTTTTTTCTGAAAAAGTTTTGATTTCTTCCGAAAAAAACAAACAAACTCGAAGAGCTTTTATAAAATCCCTAAGTTTGAGTGCAGCGCGAGTGACTCCTGACTGGTGTAACTACCATACTGACCATGTGCGGGAACTCCATGGGCTTGGTCTCGGTCCCGCCGACAATCAGCTCGTCGGCGAGGATGGCGCACTGGTCGATCTTGGCCGTGGACGTGCTGAGGCCCTCGACGAACACGTACGACGCGTACTCGTCGCATTCTGCAATTCAAAACACAACACGATTACCCCCTTTTTCACGAGTGACTTTGTTTTTGCACACGGTTTGCTGATGTAGGTGACGACGGGTAAAGTTACTTTTGCGGGCGATGCGTGACGTGTCCTTGTCCTGCTGCGTCTCGCCGAACCTGTTGCCCGTGAGCACGGCGGCGGCGGGCGGCGCGGCGGTCGAGGGCTTGGCGACGGCGCGCCCCTTGCAGCAGACGATGGTCCACTCCCCGCGACGGTCGCACACCTTGGGACGTCGGCCGCGGTGCTTCTCGGCCAGCGCCCACGGGCACTGCGACAGCCGGCGGCACACCCCGGCGCTGCCGTTGTCCATGGTGCACTCGTCGCCTGCGGCCGACCGATGATATGGCGAGGGGCACGCTGACTAACCGAGTGTGCGCGACTCGCTGCAGGTTGTGCACTTGCAAGTGCGCGACTCGGTACACTTAGTAGTGCACTTGCAAGTGTTCACAAACACAAACACTCCTATCCTCAGACCCACTTCCTTCGCTTCATTGCCCGCATCACACTGTGAGGGATGCAGACGTTCGGCGGAGAAGCCGAGCACTTGTGCAACCTCAGAAGAGCGCGGACACTTGCAAAGGCACAGTCCAACACTCGGTGCAGTGCGCTAAGCAGGAGGGTGTGCCCTTCCTCGTGGTGCGAGCGGGCGGGAGCGACACAGCTCGAGCGAGGAAGCACCGTACCTTGCGCCACTCACCGTCGGCGAGGTGCTGATTCTCAGCGCGCAGGCCCGCGGCCAGCAGCAGCAGCAGCAGCAGCAGCAGCGTCGCGCACCAGAACGACGCCATGGTGACGGCGAGGATGGTGACGACGGTGACGATGGTGACAACTGTGACGTTACTGTGACAGTAACGACGGTGACGCGCTGCACGCAGAGCTCGGCCGCCTTCGCCTCTGCGTGTCGTGCCTTACTACTGCCGCCACAACCACCACCACGCCGCCGGCCGGCTCACCGAGACTGGTCCAGCGAGTGTGAGCTGGGGGGGTAAGGCGGGCAGGCTGCGGGGGAGGAGGAGGAGGAGGAGGGGAGGGGGGTGGCAGGGGTGACGCACATACCGACCAGCTCATGGCGAACTGCGCTGCGAGCGCAAAAATTATACTACACAAGTCCGCGAGCTTTCTCTCTGACCTTCGCAAACTAGGTGTGCCCCGAAATAGAAGCGTCCTTGTACTGTATATCGCTCACGCATACGCACCCGCACACGCACGCACACACACACACACACACACACACACACACACCACATACAAACTGCGATAACGTAATCCACACTGTTTACGAAAAAGAGTCGTCCCGCGTCGCACCAGGTCGCACGCCTCGCCCGTCGCGGTAGCACGTCAGACGTCAGCCGTGCGGGCGTGTCCGAGACGAGACGGTCAGCGCACGATACGGGAATCACGAAACGAGTATCGAGTCGGGACAAAAAGGGAAGAAACACAGGCGAGGATGATCGTGAGGAGCATGAGCGCAGCGGGGGAGGGAGGGAGGGAGTGGGAGCGAGGGAGAGGGAGAGAGGGAGAGAGGGAGAAAGGGCAAGAGGGAGAGAGCAGGAAAAGAGTGACGCACAGAGTGGCTCGGCGTGGGACGCCGCGGTGTATGTACTTACACCCGCCGTCTCACACCTATGGCACCGGACTGGCGCCGAGCCAGACGGATTTAAAGCGAAATCTTTTTGCGCCGTGTCCGCTGCTGTTTATACCCGATCGAATGGACGGAAAATGTAAAAAGTATAACGAGCTGAGACCGCCAGCAGTGACGAGACGAGACAAGAGGAGACGAGACAGGAGGAGACGATACAAGAGGAGGCGAGACAAGAGGTTCAGTCATACCAGTGGCGGTGGTGAGACTGGTTTGGAAAGCAGAATGCGGGTTATGGCAGCAAAGGCTTGTCTGCTGTCCCCGGAGAGGGTGACGGTAGGACGGCCCCGGCGGCACACGCCACTGGGCGGGCGAGGCGTGTTGTGGTCTCCGAGGAACACTGAGTGACTCTGGAAAAAACATGTGTGTCATGCGTGGGGGGGATCGTACAGAGTTCGTTTCCGACGAATCCTTGGACGCGGAATCTCGGCCAGCTTCCGTTCCGAGCGAGCCGCGGCAGTTTTCGTTATCGCCGAGGAGGTTCCCCACCGTCCACACCACACCACACCGAGGCAAGGCGTACGGCGCCTGCCACTCGCTGGGTAGGCCCGCCCGCCGTGCAGCCGTGTCGGGCCGGCGGCCCGCCCGGAGCGCCCGAGTGGTGCGCGGGTGAGCGTCACTTTACCGCGGCGGGCCGGGCGGGTCCCAGGTGGGACTCGAACCCCAGCGCGGGTTGCCGTCTGGTCGTGTTTCTCGTAAAATGCGTAAAAATTCAAACATAAAAACGAATAATATGACGGCGCGTCGAGTATTAGAACCCCCGACGCAGAGTTCAAATTTCGCAGCTATAGCAAAGAGCCACGAGGTCGGTCTCGAAGCACCAGGTGAGAAGGTGTCGCGATGGGACCGGTTCTTCTCCCGCTCAAGCTACTGCGCTGACTCGTGCCTTGAGCCTAGCTCTCCCGGCCACTCACACTGTGGCGCCGTAGCCGCGCCGGTAGAGAGTCGGCCCCGTGCGCCACAAGTCAGGGGTTCGAATCTCCCATCCCAGTCACATTTTTCTGAACCGGTCGAACTCTTGGAGTTGAACTTAAACCCGTCATTTCAACGGGGCACCTTCGTGGATGAACGAACGGTCTGGTGGTTAACGCTGCCCCACTGGACCGGGGGTGACGATGACTCGGCACTGGGGTCCCATTAGGGGCAAAGGTTCGACCCTCGGCGAAAGCGTGCCGAGTAAGGGCCATCCCAGCCACAGCGGGAGTGGTAACCCGTGTGGAATTGATAAGTCCTTAGAATCTGGCTCATTGAAGGGATTCCACGACTCGGAAGCTTTCCGCTCGGATCGCATCTGGGTGCAGTACAGGCTAACCACCGTACGCCCGTCTCCTCTCTTTCTAACTCCCTCTGCCCTACCCCCCATTCCCGGTCAAGCGGACTGGTGGGAACCTAGTCGATGGCTGTAAACTCCGGTGTGAGTGAGATAGTCAAGAAACCCGGCCCTCAGCTGGGTGCCTGAAAACACCGGATCCCATCCCGAACTCCGAAGTTAAACAGGCGGGTCCCCGTGTCAAAGCGGGGTGGGTAGGGCCCACATTTTTTTTTCATTTTTATTATTTTGTTGGCAAAATGAATCCGGCTCTAAGAGGTATTTTAACTGCCTGTCGCACGGAGGTGAATAACTCTAAAGAATACATATAATTCCAGTAGAGGTAACTACACCATTATTTTGGTGGAGGTAATTTCGCATTGCGAAAGTTGCTAGAGGATTATTCCCTAGAGGTACCGGACCCATCCCTCTTCCTTACCGGTAGAGCGTGCTGTTGTGTTGTGGCCCTGACACACGGTACAGGACTAGAGGTGGTCTCCTTAGACGCGCCGATGGGGTGGGGATCGCGGCGTGAGGTGGACTGCATATGAACTGTCCAGCGGTGGAGTCCGGTAAAACTTGTTTATTGAAAACATGCAGTTTCAGTATAGTACATTTACAATAATTAGTACATTCATTTACAAAGTTTTGTATATATTTATAATTTATATTTACATTAATTAGGTAATGACTACTTTATGATTAGTATCACATAATGTGACTTGACTAGATTGGAATGTCTAGAAGTTTGTTCTGAATTTTTCAATTTCTTGCAAAAATAATTCTAGAGGCCTGCTGTAGTACATTTCATTGGATTTTCGTATTATTTGTATATGGGAAGAAAATTTTGCCCTTAGCTACAAAGTTGGTTAAAACATACAAAACATTTTAAAAATTGGGCGTTTCAACATATTTTTTCTCTTACGTTTCAGTAATAAATAAATTGAAAACATACAAAAGCTACTGATATAATAGATAAACTTGATAGAAAATGTTTATAATATTGTTTCCAAAAAGTACCTCCTTTATAAAGGTAGCTAGGTGGGGTACAACATCTACGTCTTACCATATAGCTTCAATTCTTCTTGTTCTGCGCAATTCCTATGAGAACTGTTTTGATTATTTACAGAAGCTTTTGAGTATGCCTAAAACAGTTTAATTTGGAAAATCTACCTTCCCATACTTATACAACCAGCTTGAAAATGTAACTACGACTACAATGGAGGATAATTGAGTAATCTTGTTTCCTTTTAATTTGATTTGTTGCAGTCTTGAAAGAAAAAACATAAGTCAACATTGTTCTTCATCACAAAAGAAAAACAAAACATACAATACATGTATAAAGTGTGATTTCTTTCCTTGGTTATTTCCAAAAGAGGAAATCTTTTATGTCACACAATACAAATTTTCGTCGCTTGTAATTATTATCCACTCAGTAAGACCGGTTTCTCATCGACCCAGTCGCTGGGACTCAGGAGGGGGTGTAACTCACAGGGGATGACGAAACCCCTCGCCCCGTAATAAGACATGCCGAAGGCAGTCCCGGCCGCTCAGACGCTGGTCCCGATGGAGTGGTGCGCGTGGTGGCCGTGCACGGGGCCCAGGGCGGGGGCTGGCACGGGTCCGGGCGGCGGCGGGGCGGGCTCGCACTTCTCCGACATGACGGTGAGCACCTGGTCGAACTTGGCGTGCCGCTCCTCGGCGTGCACCGTGGCGCCGCGCGACCCCCACAGGAACTTGAGGTGGAACTCGGTGCGGAACGCGTCCAGCAGCAGGTCGTCCACCTTGGAGTCGCCCAGGACGATCTGCGCGTTGCGGCGGAAGGTGGGCAGCGCGTCGCAGAGGCGCCGCGCCGCCTCGAGGTGCGCCCACATCGTGCCCAGGCCGAAGTCCGACGTGGACGACTCCCAGGGGCCGAGGCAGGCGTTGAGCGTGGACAGCGGCAGGCCGCAGGCGGCCGAACCTGCGGGCGGACAAGGGCAATCAAACAAACGGACAAACTCCTGGCAGTGCAGTTTACTCATTAGAGAGACAAGAATTATCCTCTGGCGTTACCCACGAGGGGTATACTTCTCTATAAATTCAAACCTCCAACAACTTTTTTAATTATTAAAAAAAAAAATAATCATGAATTATCATTTTTTTAAATCTTTACTTATTTTTATTTTTTTTTAATTTTCCTTGAAATTTTATGATTTTTTCATTGAGGGTGTACGCTTGAATCCATTCAAAATAAATTCACTCTAAATTTATAGTGAAGTACCCCTGGCGTCCCGCGGCCAGCCACACGCAGCGTACGCACCCGAGAGCATGGCCTCGGCGGGCCGGGCGTTGAGCAGCAGCAGGGGCAGCAGGTGCGGGATGGTGGTGTTGGGCGCCTGCGGGTTGGCGCACTCGTTCATGCTCTTGAGCGTGGGCCGCAGCTTGGCCTCGAAGTTGAAGGCGCTGTCGGTGAAGCGCTGCCGCAGCACGTGCCAGGTGGCGGCCAGCCGCTGCAGCTGCGGCATGCACAGGCCGAGCATGATGCCGCAGAAGCCGTACAGGTTGCCCAGCGCCGTCTTGGTGTCCACCGCCACCTGGATCCACTTGTTGAGCAGCTCGGCGCGCTCTGTCTCGGTGGGCGACGTGAGGATCGTCACCGCCACCAGCAGCTTGAGGCACTCCGTCCTGCAACGGGCATTCAAGTATTATACACCCCAGAATTTAAATTCTCCAGAAACAATGGTCAAAAAATTTTTGTTGACTGATTTATATTTTTTTCCAGGTAGGTAAAAATCAATCAAATGTTTCTGGAAAACTTCAGATTTTTCCGGTTTTTTTTTCGGGAAAGTTAAAAATTCTCCCGATTTTTGGACCACTAATTGCAGCAATCAGATTGTTTCGGACACCTTACCTCTCCACCAGGTCCGTCCTGAGCTGCCGCCCGATGGGCAGCGTGCACAGCTCGATGGCGGACTTGACGCCGAGCCCGAGGTCGTGGTCCCAGGGCTGGCCGCTGGGACCGGTGGCGGCCAGCGTCAGGTCCAGGTCGTCCCGGGTCAGGTGGTTGGCCAGGATGCGCGACCCGCTCTCCAGCAGCATCATCTTGATGCCCTGCAGCGCCGTGGCGTCCAGCGGCTTGTTCTCCAGCGAGGGCAGCAGCAGCGTCTGGAAGCCGTCCAGGTCCAGGGCGCTGGGCAGGCTGGGCAGCTCGGCGGGCGCGACGCCGTGGCCGGGCGTGGCGAGGCCGTCGTCGCACGCCTTGAGCGTCGTGGACGAGCACGACGACGGCAGGTAGGGCATGACGACGCCGCGCTTGAGCGTGCCGCCGGTGGCCCCCGCGGCCGCGGCGGCCGCGGCGGCAGCCGCGGAGTCCGGGATGTCCCCCGCGGCCGAGCTCTGCGCCGACGAGTCCCCGGACCCGTTGCCCGAGTCAGAGCCCGAGGCGTGGTACGAGGCCATGGCCACCCTCTGCAGCGCGGCGGCCGACGCCAGCGACGAGCCGCTCTCCGAGACGGGCGTCGTGTCGCCCAGGTCGCCGACGTCGCCGTCAAAGTTGGGGTCGTCGCCGGGCGTGGTGGGCGCCGCGCACGAGGTGGCGGACGGCACCCGGCTGGGCTTGGGCGGCGGGCTGTCCGTCGCGTCCCTGGGCGACGCCACGCCCTCCAGGTCGCTGTTGACGCGGAGCATCTTGTTGGCGGCCGCCGCGTGCCGCGGCATGGTGGAGGTGCCCCTGCACGTGCTGAGCTTGCCGTTGCTGCGCGGCAGCGAGTGAGTGGAGAACTTGCCGTGGCCGCCGCCCTGGCCGCTGCCCTGGCCCGGGACCGGCGTGGAGGCCGCCGAGGCCGCGAGGACGACGCCGTCCGCGCTGCCACCGCCGCGCTCCTCGGGGCGCGCGCGCTCCGCCAGGCTCAGGGTGAGGCGGCCGTGGCTGTAGCCGTGACCGTAGCCGTGGCCGTGGCCGTGGCCGTGGCCGTTGACGGCCTCCATGGGCGTGAGCGACAGGCTGCGCTGCTTGGACGGCAGGCGCGGCGGGGTGCTCGCCATGTCCGAGGCCACGGCGGCCGCGCGCCGCGACCTGGGCGGCGAGTGCACGGGGCTGCGGAAGCACGAGTAGGGCGACATGCGCGCGCCGACGGGCGTCAGCGGCGGCACCGCCGTCAGCGGCGACGTCATCGGCGACATGGCCTGCAGGCCGCCGAGGCCCTGGTGCAGCGCGTACTTCTCGGCGTAGAAGGAGAGCGGGTACAGGCGGTTGCGCGGCGACTGGATGCGCGCCCCGGACGCCGCCGAGATGGGCTTGCCGCTGCCGACGTAGTACGTGACCAGGTCCGGCACCGTGTCGTACGCGTCCGCCTCGAACTGGTACTGCACGCGCTCGTACACCGTGTCGGGCTGCAGCACGACCTGCGGGAAGGGGACGACAGTGGTGTTAGAAAGTCTCACAGATTATAGAGTGAAACAAATTGGTTGTACACGACAAAATGTATAATAGGGTTCTTGGGGTAGTTCACTCATAAATTTCAGTGAACACACTCTAAAACAACAGAAAAAATTAGAAAAAAAATCAGGAAAAATCAGAAAATTACCAAGGGAAAAAAATAAGAATTCAGGGGAAAATCAGAAAAAATCAAAGAAAATCGATAAAAATCACCAAAAAAATAAAGAAAAATCATGGAACAACAGAATTACGCACCTTGTTAATGACGAAGTGCAGCGAGGCGCCCTTGCTGCGACACGTGAGCACGTAGTTGCCCGGCTGCGAGGCGCAGTCCCGCACCAGGAAGTCGCCGTCGCGCTCCACGATCTCCTCGGCGCGGTGCCGCGGGATGGCGCCATGGTACCAGGCGTGCGAGCGCAGGTCCTGCGAGTCCAGCGACAGCTCCCACTCTAGCAGGCGGCGCAGCGCCGTCGGGTCGCCCGCCGGCTCGTCCTGGGGGAAAACAAAGAGGAAAGTTAGGGTTGTAAATTTTCCAACATTCACGGAAAATTTCCGAAAAATTCCCGAAAATTCCCTCCCATAAAACACGAAAATTTTCCCAAATCTGAAAAATTTTCCGTTTTTCCCCGGAATTTTTTTTTTTTCGGAAATTTTCCAGCCCTAGAGAAAAGGGCATTATGAGACACATAGTTTGCGAGAGAAACTCGATTTAAAAAGCACCCCCCAAAGATACCAAACGAGAACTTGAGTAGTTTGGCGCCGAGTCTCACAGTCTCAGAGATTTTTATTTTCGCGATGCTCGTCACAAGGCAGGATGAGAAAAACCCCATTTCCACCATTTTTAATGTCAACTGAAGTTTTATTTTGTACAAATTAAAGTTGTTTGTTTTGAATACTTTTCGTTTTGCTTATTGCTCGAGGGGCGGGTCCATGCGAAAAGGGTTATGGT